GAGAATCCCAGACCAGGTGAGATTTACTCTGTATAACAGTTGAAACAGTTTCCTCACCTCTATCTCACTATCTTTTTCATGTCTCAAAGCAATGGTAAGTTCTTCAATTTTTTCTGCTAAGTTCCCATCGCCAGGTCCACTCTGAGAGTTTTCTTCTTCAAGATGTTGAATTACAGCTTCTTTACTTTTCAAAGACAGATTCAGTTGCTCTATAAGTCTACAATTATAAGATTTTCTCATATTAATCTTGCATGATCTACCAGCAACTCTACAGTTATTGCAGTACATCTTACAGGCAGCTTCCTAGCTGAAGACTCCAGACAATACTTGTAAAACTTGAGGAAGCCTTTCTTTCCACAACCCCCTCCTCCTCCAGAGAAACTAGAAAAGCTGCCATCCACTTGAAGCAAGCAACAAACAAGTTTGAGCTATCTGCAAAGCACTCATTTTTCTTTTCCTCCAGAACTATTTTAAACATAAATGCTTAAACCTTCAACATTTTGTTCCCATTATCCTATACACAAAAGCTTATCAATGCATTCCACTTCCTAGCACACATCATTACGTACCATTATGAAGGGATTCCTCAGGTACCATCACTTGTATTTGTGGCTAAAGTTGATCCTAGTTCCACACAACCCCCTCAGAATTAGCTCATGGCTACCTCCATCAGTCAGATACACATCTCAGCACCTCTAATCTTTAAACCAATTAAAATCAGTGCTACCATTTTTTGACAGACGTAAGGGTTATACCTGAAAACTTTCTGGCATAAGATGCCAGCTGTGATCTCCTTAGTGTTTTGCAACCCAGATGGTGAAAGGATCTTTTTAATACAGCATGAACTCCCTATGTGCTACTCTCAGACAAGTTTAAAGTGTTGCATGTTAGTACTTTGTTCACTTCAAGGAGTCAAATGCCTTCTTCCATCAGCACCGTTTTTCTGATCCTGCAAATACTTAGATATGTCAGCATAAAGTGATAGGAAATCCTGCCAGTACAGATCACCAGAAGAGTTCCTTACTCCACGCAGCCTTCATTTCAGTGATTCAGTACTGACAATTTCTTCCCACACCTGAAGCACTGTTTTCACACAAGCTCTAGAGCTGGAAACTGAAGTACATCAGAAAGGGATTGCTTTTGTAACACACTCCTTCAGCTCATATCACTCAGGAGAGCAACCGTGTACACATAGAGGTCTAAGAGACTGAAAGAGGACAGGGAAGATAAAGGGAAAGGGAACAAGACTGCCTAACAGCCAAGTTACAATCACTGCAGTATCATTTAATGTGCAGTAAGAACGATTTCATCAAATTATGATACTGCAGGAGTTCAGATTGGCAGTTTTCAATCTGTATGTTTACATAAAAGCTGTCTGAAAAACACTACAAACCTTGCTTTGGTCCTACTGTATTATTAAATTGATAAATGAAAGCCTCAGGCCAACATACCTTACCGTTACCAGGGCAGACCAATTACGCAGTGAATCAGAAGCTAACTTCAGGGTTCAGTCAGAAAAGGACAGGAAAGGATACTCCAAAGCATTACAAATTATAACATTCTTCTCATTTCCTCCCCAGGCTTACATACCCAAGCTATCAAAGCTTTACTAGGTTAACGAGACACGTATTTTATCCTAAATGTATTTAAAAAACAAATAAAATCAGTTCTCCAAGTGTTGAGATCTGACTGTACACATCTCTCTGTCTGAAGAACAACTCAAGCACCTTTTCAACTACCTGCCAAACAAAGCAAAACCAATGTTTTGCAAAGCATAATCAAAGCCATAAAGCTCAAACATTTTCCTTTTCCCATTAGATTTTTACCAACCTCAACAGATACACCAAGACTGAAGTGCATGAAAACACTATGAAAGCTGCAAGTGAACACAGATATAAGAGTGAATCTCTACTTAAGCACTGGCACAAAAGCAGGAAGCAGAAGGTAAGACAGCAGTTACAAAAAAAGCTTTAAAGCAGGACACCATGTCACATGCACATTGATTCTGTTACACTTTCAGACATCTTTTAAAGATTTTGCTGTCATGCAACATGTAAACTGGTTGCTGCACTCATTTACAAGCTAATAGGATGTCTAGTAATACTCATCTATCTCAGGGAAGGATCAAATCATTACAGTCTATACCCATGCTGACTCTTTGCACTTCAACAGTAAAAGAACTTCTACATGGTTAGAAATATCACCAGCAAGTGTTCTGACCTGTCCTTCTCAGCTCCTGAAATCATATCCAGATCCTTTGCAGGAGCATTTGTAAGTGAAGAAAGTCTCTGCTCAGCAACAATTCTCAATGCTTTCTCCTTCTCCGCCATTGCAATGGCTTTCTCCACCTCTTCTTGGGCAGCCTTAAGATTCTGTAGTTAAAATAATTTAAAAGAAGATCATTTTGATGCCTACAAGAACAAAATGCTCACAGAAGTTTTTCATGCACTGAAGAGTCTTTACCAAACACACACTAATTATCTCAAGCGCTTTGCAAACACTTCTTGAAAATACAGACATGAAAAGTTCAGGTTAATCAATTTTCTGTGGTACATAAAGATGGGAAGTTCATTTCAAAGTAGCAAATCAAATTCCCTACCCAACAACAGAAACAAGTGCCCCTGTGCTATGGCTTTCGATTTAGCTATGATAATATGCTTTAAAATAATTCAACTCTACCCCACTATCCTCCCACCACTGTAAGAAACAGACGGAAATTAAAGAGATTAAAGGAGGTTTTATTCAATCAGGGATAAAAATCAATATTCACAGCCTCACTGTAGCTAACTGGAACTCCAAGATGATTGATTAAGCATTGATAAAGTTATGTTTCCTTTGGACAAAAACAGAAATAGAGGAAACACCCAGATATTCCAGTTAACTTCTAGTGATCCAGCTCACTGGGCCGGGGAACAAAAAGCCACCAACAAAACAAAAATGCACAAAAGCAGCCTGTCACATAACATTTGTTTCAGATCTTCATTTTTCTGCGGTAAGCTTCCCTGCTGTGCTCACTGAGTTTTGCTTTCTACGATCTATCAGCCTCCCTGAAGCCTAACAAGTAATCCCCTCCCCTCCAAAGATGATCTCTTGAGGAATGGGGTGTGAAGAAAAAACCCTTCTCCACTAGAATTCACTGCTCCTCTCTCCTCCCTATCAGCACTTGTCTTTCAGTCAAAAATTCCAATGGAAATCCATACCTGGATCTGTGTAGCTATACAGCATTACATGAGCAAGAGACTAATACTGCTCTGCAGTATTTACATTCACCAGCATAATAAAATTCATGTCAGAGGCCAACCGTACCTTCAGGCTACAGAAAATATTATAGCACTGTGAGATAATATCTGCTACTCTACACGTCAGATTTAGGAAACGTCAGTCTGATCAATCATTTTGTTTTACAGTAAGTAATTTGGGATATTTCCTACCTCAGCAATAGCACAAGAAATGCTTTGAGAAACCCAGTTCTGCTAAAGAAAAGGTCGTGGTGAAACCCCATAGCTCAGCTCTGAAAGAGCTCATTGCTTAATCTGATATAAAATAGCATTATGAGACTGCTACCAATATCTTCTATGACCAAATCATTCTTTGGAGACAGAAAAGCAAACACTGGAGCTTATCCTTGTCCTATTTATTTACTCACAAAAGAGCACCAGATCTCTATTCTCTCAAAAGATGCAGTTACATAATCCTTTACCTAAGTATACCCACTCAGTGATGCAAAACAATTATGAGTTTATTTATAGAGCTTAAACATTTCCAGCACAGGCCATTCAATATCTGATTTGTTCTTTACAAGGAAGAAAAGTCTCCTTGCTTCTGAGGAAGCATGTTATTCATACAGAGAATTCTTTTCCTTGTGGTGCCTATACACTACAAAACAAGAAAAACACGAAGCAATTCCCCTGTTAAGATATCAGCAATGGCTCAGAAATAAATACAGGAATAAACTGTGTCAACTACATGACAGGAGCTCTTACAGAGTGGTTTCAGCTATTTGTGAAGCTGAGACCTTACCAGAAAAAGTGTCCAAAATGCAGCCCCTCTTCCTCTAAACAGAGATTGCAGCTCTGGAAACAAAGCTCTCACTGGAACTCAAGACTTAAAGGTCTGTTATGAACATATCCAAATAGCATCCAAAGGTAGGAATTTCCTGAAGAATTGCTATCCTCCTATTCAGTGCTTTAAGAGTAGCTAATGGTACTTTCCCTTTCACTGTTTGTTTTGGTTTTCCCCTCTTTTCTTCTCCTCCTGCATTTGCACTAGCTATTTCTCCATGAAAGCTGAAGCAATTTTGAAAATACAGACCTATCACAGTATCAAATCTCAGATAATAGTACAAAATACAGATATCTAACTATTCATTCTGTTTCAGGCACTCACCTCCTCCAGAAGGTTTATTCTGCCAGTCAAGATTCCTTCCATTTCTTGTAACTTCTTTTGTGCCTCCTCTTTCACACGCTGTATTTCAGCATCACCACCCTGGGCCAGGCTTTCAACTGCCTTTCTGAAAGGCCATAATATATAATCGAAATCCCATTGCATATCAAAATAGAAAATGTTTTAGTGAAAGCAGCTGATAGATTACAGAGAAGTTTCTTCTATCTTTATCTGTACCTGCTTGTCACTGTAAGGCGAAAATACAAACATCTACACAGTACGTAACAATTTTGGTGGTATAGTCTCTGCTTGATGTACAAGCCTTGTCACAATGAATGAGCACACAAAGAAAAATAGTTACTATTTCTTGCATATTTTTAAAGCTTTCAAGTAAAGTATCAAGCCTCCAATAGAGCTGTGTTACCTACAAGCAACAACACTGGAATAAACTGAAGATGCGTAGCTGCAGATACCTCTCCTAATCACTTTGTTAGTAATTAGTAATTCCTTACCAGCTCCTTCTTCTCTCATACTTCCTCACTAAGCAAAGGATGAGCACTTGTTTATGATTTCACTCTAAATTCCGTGTTCTATTATGAACTCACACAAGGTTCCATTCAAAGTCCAGTGAAACTTTCTTACAGCTACAAATGAAAATTAATCAGGTCTGCAGGATCTACTTGGAACTCCAAACTACTGAAAAAAGTAATTAGCAACAACTCAATGCCACGTAATGTCAGCCACAGAGAAAATTTCATTGCAACTGAGGCCTGTGTAGCAGTCATTAGCTGTCACTGCCAGCTTGGATTCATTTTGAAACTGATATCTAGAAGGAAACAGCTCTACAGGGAGTTATTATACAAGCTATGCTAATGCTGATAGGAATGCTAACCCGTTCTCAACCAGGGAGTTGCATTTATCTGAAAAAAATATTTACTTCATTCCACTGCATAAGTTACTGTGTGACAACATCATTGCGTGTAAGAACAAAAATGTCAATCCAGCATCACAAGGGACAATTTCTAGAAAAACTTTAAAACACTAAACACTAAGATGCTACTTTGCACTCTTCGTGTTCCAGAAGCATCAGGAAAAAACACATACAAACAGAAGCAAGAATTTGGAAGTCTTAAATAACACACAGTTTTAATATACTGGTACTTACGAGGCCTTGATGAGGAGTTTCTCTCTCTCTTGCAGATCACGCTTCAGACTTTCTATCTCAACTTTCAGCTCGATGTTCTAGAACATAAGAATGAAAGCATCTGCAGAGAACTCAGAGGTCACCATATAGATTAGTTTTGCTTAGAACAGCAAATAAACTATCACAGGGATAAGATCAGCATAGCAATTTCAACTTATGAAAGCACATTTTACAAGGGTCAAGCATTTAGGACCACTGTATTCAAGCAAGTTTATGCACATATGTGTATGCTGAGCTATAATGGGAAGTGGTGCAAATCAACTTGGGAGCTACTAGAGCTTGGAAGCTATAATTTCTAGTGATATTCTTTTTAAAGTCTGGTTATACCAATTATTGAGGCTTTTAATCATTTTAAAATGATTTTCTTCCAGCCTGGGAAAACACATCGTACAAGAACTCCCTGGCACACAAGTTGACAGAATTTTCAATATGTTAGCCATTACGAGACAAGCCAGAATACAGTAGAAGACCAGAATAGACCAATTAACAATATTCAGTTGAAACCATGACCTAGCTAGGCAGTTATGCACTTAACTACTGTGACAACCACCAAGAAAAACTAAAGTTTCCATTCCATTACAGAGGAGACTAAAAATGCCACTGCATTACCAAAATGAATGCCTTGTAGAATGCAGACAAAAAAGTAAATGCTTGTCCCATGAATGCATAGACTCAAATCCTTCTTCAAACTTAAATAAGAAAACCAAGCCTCACCTTCTCTTCTATAAACTTAGAAAGGAACCAAACAGATGAATTCCTGATTTAGAGGTACGTAGAGCAATAATTCAAGAAGCTATACACAACCCAAATACAACTACATCTACATGCTTCAGAAGGAACTGCTCCACATACACTGGAAAGGTTGCTTCTTTGACAAGCAGGCTGCCACAGAGCTGGTGAAATATCATTAAAGAACTGCTAGAAAGGAAGCAGACTCCTCCAGTGAACAGTCAGAGGGCAGAATAGGATAGTCATACTGAGAGTTCCAGCTGAGAGATTCAGGAGTAAAACAGGCAGCTTTCCCATTAAACAAACTCTTCAGAGATGCATAATTATCTTATGATATTCTAAGCACATACAATTTTGTACATATCTTCTGTGGGACCATCAAACTTCTGCTGTATTCGCATTTCCTGGAAGTATATACGAAGCTTCAGGTTGAAGTTCTCTTTTTTCAGATCAGAGATTTGCTGTGAAAGAAAGAAAAGGAGCCAACTACGTCAGGAGTTTCAAATCAAGGAAAACAAACAGCAAGAACTGCATCCACTTAGTTTTGCTCTCCACTGTGAAAGACAATTACTGAGATAGAATCCAACCAACATGGTGAGACATGCATGTGTGTGCATACATATGTTTATTTTTAGTCCTTAAAACTCTGATACTTTGGCACTGAAATCATAATTATAGAAGAGTATTGTTTAATAAGCACAGCATGCTGTCACACAGTGCTCTTAGTTCCTCTAAGAACTAAAACATTGTCTGACTTCATAAGAAAACCCAAAAGAATATTTACAGACTAAAAAAAGGACTTTTTTCCCCACTCTACAGAGTTTAAGCAAAATCTGAAGAGATATGTTGAAACAGAAGTATTTCCTCAGGGATGGGAGCATCATTCATGGGAGGAAAAGCCACAGGCACACAAGGCAGCAGAGCCAAACCAACTACCAATAAAATCTTTATCCACTCCTATAAGTTTCATAGCACTTTTTTTTTTCTTTTCAAAGAATAATGGCTTCTCCTACATGTCCTTCAGGACTTATGATTTTTGCACTAGCAGAAGCAGTAACACAGTTGATGGTTTCATTAAAAAGAGTTTCCCTCTGAAATGGTTTAAGAGGCCAAGAATAAAACATTCATTCAAATAAGCCTCGTGACCCCTGTCAGATGCTCTCAGCAAAAGGAAATCTAATATGCTACAGAGCTCCTAATAAAACATTTATGTAGGCTTTTCCAGAACAGCATAGTACCACTTGTAAAAATTATTATCAATGCAATTTTTATAATACTCAGCTTGTGTAAGCCTAGGAAGACTCATTTCTGTATCTCCTCTCACCACTTGCATTCACATTCTATTCCAGTGTAGCAATCTCTGCCTAGCAAGGTGCCCCTTTATTATCCACAAGCAAGCATCAGCCAAGCAACAAGAAATCCAGAGGACTGTAACAGCTCTGTGGCCCATCCACACATCCTGCAGCAGCTGTCTTCAGCAGCAGCAGCAATGCAAAGATTAATTCCTTCCCTCCTTTTTGTATCCCTACGCTTCCAACCCAATGACCACAAACAGCAACATCAACTGTAACTGCAGAAGTGGTGACTGCTTAAAGCACGACACCTCCTGAGGATCACGAGGCATCTGGAGGAACTGGAAGGAGTATTCAGCATTTGGATGGATGTGAGCATTAAGATAATGCAACTTTGTGTTCTGAAGCACCTCACAGAGCACAATGCTCCCAGTGCTGCTCAAAACTGAAGTCCTTGTTTGGAATAAACAAAAATTAATGATTTCTTCAGGGAAGCAAGGCTGTAGAGTTGTCTTTCACATCTTACTCAGCTTTACTCCCGAAAATTGAGCACTGTTTGCAACAAATGTGAGCACACCTTGCAGTTCTATTTGTTTTTAAAGCCATCAGAAAAATATTCAGAAAAAGCCCAAGCATCAAAGAGTGAAGTTATAAGAGCTGGACTTCTGCTACACTTCATATCACTACAGATCTGAGCTTAAAAAAACAAACACAAACAAAACAATTTCAGATCTCAGCGTTCCTTAACCCTATTCTCATGCATTTCTGTGGCAACAGAATTAAACCAAAAAGCTTAAGCATACTGAACCATTAGAAATGAAAGGCAAGCAAACATACTGTACCATTAGAAATGAAGAAGTGAAATAAGTGTTCCCTCTGACATTCAGTTCCCTCGAGCAAAGTGAATTTGAGCAGGTAACAATTAAAAGTTATAGCTTAATAAAAAGCAACCAATAAAATATGAACAAGTTCACATTGCAAAGGAACCTTCATGACAACTCTCTTGCCTTCCTTCTGCACTTACAGACCCACTCTTAACACCTTTATACATTGTCATGTCTGTACTTAAGAACAAAAGAGAAGAAACAGTAAAGACTTCACGAAAACAGAGGGAAATGTAATACACTGCATGGAAAATTACACACCACAGACACCATGGCAGCAAATACCACTTCCCCAGCTCAGCTCAGCTCCTCTCCAAGTCTGCACAGAGCCATTTTTATGCAAAGCAGCATCTGTCAACAGGAGCTGTGGTTTCACGCACAGTTTTTGCCAGCAGAGGCCATTTTACAAGACAGCACAATTCTGAATGGGTTTAGGAAGACAATAACAATAAATAAATAAAAATAAAGCCACACACACAAAAATACAAAGAACCACATACAGACAATTACTAAGTACCCTAACTTGCTACCAATAACTCTACTCATGAGCATCTAATAAATCATAACAAGGTCCTCAATTAATGAAGTCTTTCATTTTTGCCCATGTAATCATATTTGAAGTCACTGGCATTTTCCCCTTCTCCAGGACACATCATAAACACCTCCAGGATTATCTGCCTTTGTACATTCCCCAGCTCTTAACATAAAAGGGACCTCTCCCACATAGGTCCACCCATTGCCCCCTTTAAGGGTCAACACATCCATCCTGGTCTCTCCAAACCACAAGGCAAGTTCTTCCACTCTTTCCTTCCAAATTCTTTCCCACTCTTCCTTCATTTTCTTCTCACGGCCTGAGCAAACATAGCCCAAAGATCAGCAAATGCATATATGTACACACACACACACACACTCATCTCCAGGCAGGAGCTATCAGGAATTGTATCTGCCTTTAACATGTTAACTCAGATTTGTTTTAAGGCAGGATAAGAGCAGGCTTATGATGTCAGTCCAAGCACATCTTAACAGCTTCTGGATGCTAAGTAAACAGTACAAGGACAAAAAAGTGAATGCTCCCTTTCTCACATTTAGCCTTCCAGCTACCTGCAATCTCAAAAACAGAAACAGCAGAAACTCCAGTGTGCTTAATTACCCTTTACTACATTTTTCTGCCATTACTTTAAGAGATTTTTGAGCATTCTGGTACTGTTAGCAAGCACAAAGACCTCCAAGAAATCCCACAGCTTAGCTTAACAGAAGGGGTCTGTACACACCAGGAAGTCTTTCCTCTTCCATACGAGGCCCAGGCTGACATAGCTCATCTCTAATACATCTCAGCAATACAGACCACGGGCCAGAGACAAAAGGCACGATATCAATTCTTCTGCCTGCTCCAAAAGGAAAACAGAACTCCTCCATCACACATAACCAACAACAGATTTTTCCTTCTACAACATTTTCTCTTGTGAAAATGGATGCTGCTGAGAGTAAACCATTTGCAGAATGAATATTCTACACTGAGGTCTTATGCAGTAAGAAAAAGTACAAGACTTTAAGCACATACTAATGCCAAAGCAGAGTCCTACCCCAGACAATATTCCAAAATAAAAGGAAGTGAACCAGAAACACTAAGAAACGTTATTTACTGAGACTTCCCAAAACAAGCCTTAACTCCTAAACAAAGAGCACAGCTCTCTCCTCAGAGGAAAATAAGAAAAACTGAAAGAGTTCAGACAAAAAGCTCATTTCAGACTTAGCAGTGCAACAAAGGGTAACAGTGGCAGTAAGAAGCACACTAAAAACCACCAACATGTGACACATCCTGTAGACAGCAAGCCACAAGATGTAAAGCAATCATAAAAACTTGAGCTAAACGACATAAAAAATTCTACGGAAGTGTTGTCCTGCTGTACCCAAACAGAGTCACTCAGCAGCCATAAACAATTAGCTCGTAACAAACAGTTTATTCAATGCAGTTGACACTTTAAAAGCATCTGATGATTTCCTCTGTATTCCAGTAAGCACCAAAACCAGTTTTATTTACAGCACTGTCACAAGGATAGAAGACCTTTCACAACAAAGGCTTGTTCATAAGTGCACAAGACACCACGCAACAGTCAGCGAACACAAAATCCTACAAGGTATAAATGAAGATAAGTTTGATGCTTCCTTGAAATACAAGGAATCAATTGCAGACTTGCAAACTACGCTCTCATGTTTCCGGCGATTGCATCCACTTCTGAGCAGATGGTGCCAATTTCTGTTTCACAACTTAAGAGCAGCAGCTGGCTAGTCTGCCTTACAGCAATATTTTGCCTTCAGTTTCGAAGGCAGAGAGATGGAAATTGACAGCACAAATAGATACAGATCACACCTGTGACATAAACAAAATGCCCAATCCACAGCCAGCATATCAGAATTACCTCAGACATAACTCTGTCACTAAGTTTTACATTAAAAGCCTGCTTACATTTTCATAGTCCTTCATGGTCCGAGCTCTGATTGGTGAGACTGTGTCTTCTGCCACATCTGGTAATCCTGGACATTGAAGAGACAGAATGAGTTCAGGCAGAGGAATCCAAGATAGGTTTCACTCTGGAAACACTGAGTTTTAGTATTACCTTCCAGTCACAGTCAGGATTTCTTTCTGCTCCCGATATCTGGTCTATCAAAACTTCTGAATTTTGAACTTTTAAATCAAGAGGTACATCAAAGTTAAGCTGTACAAGAGGCACTTCTAAACACAAGCCTTCAGAGCATCTGCAACAGGCTTCAGTATCAGAATGAAGTCCTATTAAGCTATTAGAAGCCGGAAACGACCAGCATCAGTATTCCTAAAGCATAATGCCTTCTGAACACGTATGTATTTAAACTGCTTGCATGCATGCTCTGCAACAACTGCTGCTTAACAGGGCTAAATAATCCTTTTCATTCAAAGCCCCCATGAGAGTAAACTTAATGAAAATAGCAAGATCGTATACAGCTCAGAGCACTTGGGTTATCTGAAGTACAAAAGGCATCTGTGGCCTTAGGCTAACACCCACGTGAATTCAAACACTTCATTAAAGTACTTTCAAAGTCATCGCGTAACCAGTCTTTAAAGCATCCCAGGCAATACCAGCAAGCTGTTTTTAACTCTTGATATTCTAATTAACAATCACAAAACTGCATCCCTCGAGCCCAGGCCGAGTACGGTCACATTATTTGGCAGCAGCACCACTGCTCGCTTTTGGCAGCAAGGAGGTCCTGCTGAGCCTGGCTCAGCCTGCATTCCCTGCTTCTGCACAGCAAAGCGAGCCGGGTCACAGCGCTGGATGCCGGCGGGAACAAAGGCAAACCAGAAACACGCGCCTTGGGCTCGCAGAGCAGAACAAAGAACGGCCAGCCTGACCAGCAGTGCCTCTCAGTACAGCACCTTTCAGCCATTTTATCTCAAAAGAAGCTTTCTGCGTTCCTATCAACCAGCCTGAAGGACGCCGAACGTAACGACACCTCGTCGTTTAGAGAAGCAGATCTAACGACAGCTTCCGTTCAGCACGAGGGGAAAGTTCTCAAGGTGGGAGCAGACGAAAAGTGAGGCGCTGGGTCCATCTGTTCAGGCAGACAGGGAGCCGGGCAGCCCCACACAGCCAGCGCGCAGCGCCCGTCACCGCCCCCAAGCCGCCGGGACCCGCAGCCCAACGCAGCGCCCGCCGCCCCGCCTCACCTCGGCAGCCGGCCGGCTCCAGCTGCGGGCCCTCGTGGGAGATGTCTGGCAGCGCGGAGACACTGCGGAGAAAGCAGGG